AAGTCGTTTTTGCATTGCACACACGCACACACATGTGTCATTGTGTTTGTGCGTGTGTATGACTTTACTTGCGGATAAACCAACACTGTTATTATATTATTTCTTTGCTGGATTCAGTTTTAAACTTCATTTTAAATAAAAAAATGCCAGCATTTGCTTTCGGTTGAACAGTTATAAACCCTAACCAACAAAAGGAAACGAGCGCACAGCTACACATACACACCCAACTGTATTATGAACATGTAACACATACAATGTATATACACATATAATAAAGCAATAACGAGAAAAAGAAAGAATGAAACAAACAAAAACAACAAGAACAGCTAAACACAATGATACACATGTTAGCAAAATGTTTTCAGTGGAAAAGAGACTTATAGGGCTGCCAAATAGTTTTGCAAAAGGACAGAAAAAAGAAAAACTGAACAAAACAAAATTAAATAATAAATTTTATTGAATAACTTGTTAGCTGTTTGAAAATTATTTAAACAATAACAAAAAAAATTGTATATATGTAGAAAAGAAATCTGTGCGAAATCAACAGGTGATCTAATGTTTATTGGAAATTGAAGGGTTTCAATTGTGTGTATGTGTGTGCCCGTGTGGGTAGTATGGTACCATATGGTACAATACATAATTTTCTTAACGACATGTGTAAATCGGTGTAGATAAATGTTGCAAATTTGCGGGAATATTCTATTTAAAAGATACGAATAAAGGTCAATATACATGTGGGGAAAATGTTGAAGGTTTAGTAAAAAATGATCTATCCGATATTTCCACAAAATCTATTTATACACTGCACTAAGGTAGAGCCGAACTGGCGCTAATATGAAATTTTGAATATAAATTGGTTAGAAAATCACACTGCAAAAAATTGTCAATATGGGTCCATGTTTCAGGATAGCACTCCATAGATCCTTATCCCCATTATTCGGTGTTTTGGTGACATAGGCCAAACTAAATTCCCGTCAAACCAAAAATATTAATGCCAACCCAATTTTCGGTATTTTGAAGATTTTAACCGCACTGCGGGGTTATAGAGTCTGGCATACATATACAGTGCCGGTCACATAATTAGCACACATGTGATGGGAAAAGTGTTTTTATTAACCCTCGAATAGTTTGGAATATTTTTAAATTGTTTTTTTTTTATTGAAAAAGCGTATGTGTACTGATCGATTAAGGGTTTGAACAGAAAATTTTCACTGGAAATTTGTGATATATAACGGTATTTATGAAACAAGTCAAATTTGAGAGGGACACGTAATTAGCACATCTTGGAATTTTTAAATTAAATTTCGTTGATATTAAAAAATATATACAAAAAACTACTTCTTGTTAACAAATTAAGTCTGATGAATTCTTTTCCGAAGAAAAAGGTGAAAAAATTATATAAAATATATTTAAATTGTCAACAATTCGTACTGCAAACCTAAAAGTGGGAATGTCAACATACCCCTATATCTAATCTATGGTCATTTAGTTTAGACCAAGGCCTATAAAAAGTCGGCCAGTAAGCACAGGTGAGTATAACGTTTGCTGTTAAATCATATTTTAGGTTCGCAGTAGGAATCAAAACACTTTTCCCTTCAGATGTGTGCTAATTACGTGACCGGCACTGTACGTAGATAATAATTATCAATTTAGGTTTGCACATAGTCCCCTTATTAAGGTTCCAACCAATTTGCGTACTTTTAAGAGGTATAAGCATTATCCCACCGAAGTTGATGCAGTTTTGGGATTTTTCATCAAAATTGCCGATACTATTCGCTTCTTACACGACCTGTATTTTGGACCATGTTCTGCTCATAGTAATTCGGCAACGGTCACAGTCAAAATCGAAGAGCACAACAATATAAAAGTTTCACACCTGACTGAATATTGCGATGAATCCAATATTATGTTATACAGTATTTTTCGGTTAATTGGCCCTACGGTTAATTGGTTTCCCCGCTTAATTGAACCACATGAGGGGACAAAAAAATATTGCATACGAAAACACATGTAAATTTCCTCGGATAATTAAACACTGTTAATTGATTTTCCCGTTTAATTGGTTCAAAATTCATGTCATCAAAGATAAATTTCCTCTATTTTTCACCGGTTAATTGCATTGTTATTGAAAAATAATCAGGCATTTTTAAAAACTCATAGTTCCTTTTGAGAGTATGCATAGAATCACCTTCTGAGTCGATTTATGCATGTCCGTCCGTCTGTTGGTGTTAAATTGTAAACAAGGTACAGGTCGCATTTATAATTCGATTTAGATGATATTTGTTACACCAAATTTATTCGGCCCAAGGACGAAGCCTATTGAAATTGAGAAAAATAGGTTCAAATTTAGATATAGGTCCCATTTACCGATTTTAGGTAAATGGTGCACCAAATGTCAATGTTCCTTCGAAGAGCGACGTCTGTTAGGATGCATATGTAGAACATACCAAATTGGTGAAGGGTATCATATAGTCGGCCCAGTCCGACTTTATTACTTTCCATACTCGTTTTACATACGTATTTGACATCATTAATAGTGATTGGCAACCCTGTCGTGATTGTTGATAAATTTTTGTCGTGCTCCGTGTTTTTTATTAAAAATATTTATTTTGTGTTTTTTAACCCGTTTGTGAATCTTAAAAAGTGTTAACAGTGTTTAAAATTTATTTTTGATCAATTCAATCAATTTATTTTCTAATTGGTATTCTGTGTTCCATTCCCTGTTTGTTTCCCCTGTACATTTCCTCATTTCAACATATGTTTATTGCTAAGGAAACCCCGCGAGAAAGCGTAAGTGTGATTTCTGTAATTGAACAAACAGTTCAATTAAGCGGTTCCTCGGTTAATTGTACAAAAAAATGTGCAAATTTTGATGTGCAATTAACCGAACAATATTGTATTATAATGATGGACACACCACACAGTGGGAAAAAATGCAGACCTAGCGCGCAGAAAATAAAATTAGATATTTTACTGTATGTTTATCGATATTTTGGATAAGAATAGATTTAGATGGACAATTTTAATTATTTTATGAAAAAAATTGGCAATTTTATTTTATTAACCCACTAAGCGCCGAAGCATTACATATATTTAGCCCGAAACACCTAAATTAAAATAACTTATGGGTTATATAACTATTCCATTTAATTAAATACCAATACTATATATCAAAAATGGACAAAATTCTATAATAATATATTCACAGAATGCACACGACCATCGGAATTTTATAGCTAAAAAATACCATTTTTAACATATATTTTTAAAATGTACCGTTATTCCGTTCTAACTTATTAATTCGGATTATTTTATACGGACTTAAGTACACTCAACACTCTACTTTCAAACTGCATTAATGTTTTATAGTTTCCTCGGGATTTTTTCCCACTGTGGACTAGATTTCGATGCAAGCATTTAAAGGCACTAGAAATGCAGAACACCATCCCAAAAGTCAAATTTGGAAAAATAATGATTTGGGGGTGCATATCATGGATGGACGCTCAATTCTAATTTTTCTAAATTTACTTTTAATTGGAGAGCCCGTTACGTTTACACCATGGGGAAGTCAGACAGGTTGTTTAGATAAAGGGCAAACATAACAGGACTTAATACACAACCTTGTCGGACACCTTGATCAACAAGTTCTGATAGAGTACTACCGACACGAATTTGGCTCCTATTATTTGTATAATAGTGTTAAAGTATGCGGATATATTAAGAATATAACCTGATTGACGAAAGTTTGTAAAACAGAGAGTTTCTGGGAACCACTTGAAAAGCACAAGCAAAATCAACAAAAAAACGCAAATGTATTTTTCCCTCCTAACTTATTAAGTGATTTATATTTACCAAATTCAAAATATTGTATGTGTTAAAATAATGTTTTCTGAATCCAGCATAATATTCATTAAATATATATTGTTGTTTTCTATCCATTGTGTATTACCGAAATATTGGCGAAAATCACCAGCTGTAAGTTCCCCAATCTGTATATATATTTGTTGTTATATTTTTTATGTTTTAAAACTGAAATTGCTCCTTGTTTGCATTTCATCTCCGTACGTGTGAGTTAAGTACAGTGTACACAATTGTAAAAAACATAAAAATATGTAACTTATACGTCAAAGAATTTTAAAATTATCGAACAAACTTAATATAACTACATGGCATCCCTACGAGAGAATATTGCTCATATATATTTTATATTCCAGCTACTTCCACTTCCCCAATGTTACCACTTTTTGTTTTTTTGCTGTTGTTGCCATTGATGCTGAGAGGATCTCTTTGGCGGTGTCGTGTGTCGTTGTTTCATTGTTGCAAATTCTATGGAGCGGGGTTGGGGCTAGGGTAACAAAAAAAAAGATGAAGATATGTATAATATTGTGTACACAATATGAATGGATGATGATTTTTTTATGCGTAGGGATGCTGGATGGCTGACTGGCTGGCTTGCATTCATGATTAAGTGTTCAAATATCACACACAAACACGAACACACACAATGTGACTGAGTGTGTGTGTTTGAGAATTTTTATTGCTAAGAATGTATAACATTTTATGTGTTTATGTACTAGTATATACATATGTAAGTACATAACTACATACATATGTTGGATGAAAAGGTTAACAAAATTTCATTGTGAAAATATTTGTTGGAAAAATAAAGGAAAACAAAAACTTTCCACAATGCAGAAATAAGTGCGGGCGTTTGGGCTGGTGTTAAGATAAGAAGTAAAAAAACCACCTGCAGCTGCTAATCATGTCAAATATGTTAATGAATTTTGTAGTTAAATTTTGGTTTTGATTTCTTTAGAATGAAATACAAATCGTAGTTCAAATTTCGAATAGAGAGCATATCGTATATATGGTAGGTATAAGTGTGTATTTTTTATAGTTTTTTTAATTTGAATTTTATATTATATATGTATGTAGGTATATGTACTTTCATAGATAAATTTTTCATTGTGCCATGGATGGCTTAGCTATTTTTAACTCACCTGGATAATATGACATTTCGCATTGACCCAGAATGCTTAGCATTACAACAAGGGCCACAAGTGTTTTCAGGCAAATTCCACCACCCACAGCAGTTAACATATTGTTGGCTTTTTTGTTGTTGTTTTTTTGTTTTTCACACAAAACTTTTCACTTGCACTTGTTTTCAAAATAGATTTTTAGGTATTTATTTTTCTGTTGTTTTTTTCGTATTTTTTTTTAAATATTATTTTTTTTTTAGTTGTAGTTTTATAAAATCCTCAAAAATTGGGGTTTTTATAGAAATTAATAAAAATGTTGGGTTATCCTCGCTAACATATGGTGGCCGGTCATTGCTGCAGTGTTAGTAGCAGTGATAACAGCAGTGTCCCCTGCACCACCACCAGCAGCTGAAGCAGTTGTAGCAGCAAAGCGAAACAAATGTGTGTGCCTTTAACCTTTTGGCTGCTTGGCAATTATTGATTTTTTCTTTGCTTCTCTTTCTTCTCCTGTACTGTTGTTGGTAGGTTTTTGGTTGCTGTTCCCCTTATTTTTTTCGCAGACCTCACCACCGCCTTTGCTGATTTTCTTATGTCTCCCAAGGGTTGTTAACTTATGTTGGGGGTTAATATATAATTATTTTTTTTTTAAATAATTAACAACTTTTGTTAACAATTTTTATTTATTTTTTTTTTTCAATTTAATTATTGGTTTTTTTCGTTAACGTTCTTTTATACGTCTTCTATAGTTCCACACTTCTTAGTTGGCAATATGTTTGCTTATAGGATAGGATTTTTTCCTCTTTTTTGCTATATTTTTTCTTTTTAGCTTTTTTTTCGTATATGTATGTGTATGTACGGTGCTTTTTTATATCTTCTTGTTGTTTGTATACGCCGTATGTGTGTGTATGTATATGTATAATAGTTATGTTTTTGTTACTGTTGTTGCGGTTCCTATTTGTTTTTGTCGCTGTTGTTTTTGTTGTATTTGAACTGTGTAATATTTAATGAGCTTTGTTGTTGTTGTTGTTGGTTCGTGAGTGCGTTCTTGTTTTTTTGTTTTCTTATATTTGGTTTTGTGTGTTTTTCGTTACGATACGTTGTCGTTCAGTGTTCCCGTTATACTGTTGGTGTTCAAATTTTCACAGCTCTTACTTTCCTCTCGAGTCGTACCGAACGGCACCGAACCGAACTGCTGCTTCGTTCACTCGTATTCCGTTTTACGATTTCGCCAGCCTGGTGACGCAAAATGTTATAACACCTCCGCATTCTGTTAGTAAAACCCCCATAGAAGCTTACGATTTGTTTGGTATTCTTTTCGGGACAATTGGTTTGTGTTATCGCCTTATTACAGGCAGTGTGGTCGGTACTACAGTTGAATTTTGTACAACGAATTGTTCGTAACAGGATACATTTTATTACATATGTTATATTAGGCACAATAATGACACGTGCATATAGCCTCGAGGTGAGCAGATGCAGTCGATTTTGACTGATAAAACGATATTCATCATGTAAAAATTAAATTGGCTCATACAGTGATATACAGGATTGCCCATATTCGACGGACCCATCTGGCAACGCCATAACTTTTGACAGAGATGTCACATCGCTTAATGACATACCGCGTTTGAAGCGTCAGTCCAAGCAGATTTTTACATTCAACTGAAGAAGTCAATTTTGAAAACTCAACGTGTTTTTAAAACATTAAAAAATGTGAGAAGTGCGCCTTCTAAGAACACCATTAAGCGTTTATACGAACAATTTTCGACTGGTTAGGCTCTTTCTAATCCGAAGAAGCCATATAAAAGTCGACCAAGGCGATCGGCCAAGAATATCGCTGCCGTACGAGCCAGTGTTGAGAGGTCCTCAAGAACATCCCAAAAACGCCGTTCTCAGCCGTTGGGCATGGCTCGGTCCACTTTACAACGGATTATTCGCATTGATTTGCATTTGTTCCCGTACAAAATTCAATTGACACAAAGAATGTTGTCTGCGGACAAGCCTCGTCGATTGGAATGGGCCCAAAGAGTCATCGAAATGACCGAAGATGACGAGCAATTTTGGAACAAAATTATCATGTCCGATGAAGCCCATTTCACATTGAATGGAAACGTAAATAAGCAAAATTGCCGTTTTTACGCCACTGAAAATCAAGAGATTCAAGAAGTGCCTCTTCATGACAAAAAAGTCACAGTTTGGTGCGGCGTTAGTGCGAAAACGGTCATTGGGCCGTTTTTCTTCAAAAATGAAAATGGAGCGTTATCGCGACATGATGACCAATTTTGTGATGCCAATTATTCATCGAAAGCGTATGAGGCAGTTCTGGTTTCAACAAGACGGCGCTCCACCGCACACAAGTCGGTAATTAACATTGCCAACCGCCAAATTTTTATTTTTTTCTTTGATTTTTTTAAAAAAAAAAACATGGGTCCGTCGAATATGGGCAACCCTGTACACTACTGTCAGAATTAGTATGATGCATAATGCGACCCTCCAACTTTCCAATGGTCATACTACTCTGATACAACCTGTAAATTCGATTTATTTCACTCTATGTTCTTATTCCTCCTTATTAGACAAAAACCACTAAGCGGAGCCATATAGTCGGACTTAACCGACAACTACCCTACTCCAGAACCTGGCAATATGTCACGATATTTATATTCTCATGTATTTTAAAGATAATATCATGGCATAACTATACAAGGTGGCAAGATGATAAATACCAAGGAACGGCTCTGATTGTCTTCAACATGGTAAAGCCCAGGCTTATCTTGGTTCCTCTTTCTCAATTGTGGACACTGACCTCCTCGCGGTGTCACCTGGAGTAGCTACTTTCAACACTCGTTGAAATTGAGAGCTGCCGGAAATAGCATCAAATTTTAGAATAAGTTGTAACGTGACCGTTTCATACATTATGCACGACCCAAGTTTATGTCAACCCACCTCAATATTTAGTAGTGAATAACGTCTCACTTTAAACCTAAGCCGGTATCATTACCTGCGTTCTTCAACTTCATTGCATTAAACGACAGACAATGTCCTGGAAGTACACAATAATTCATCCATATGGATATATGTTCCACTTTTCCATACCGAAGTGGTGAATGTTAACGACGGTTCGGCCTCGCTCTTAGCCAGCTCCCCGCTCTTAGCCAGCTCCTCGCTCTTTGCAAGCTCCTCGCTCATAGCCAGCTCCACGCTCATAGCTAGCTCCCCCGCTCATAGCTAGCTCCATACTAATAACCACTAACTACTAACCGAACCCTGACAAAACCCGAACCTACCGACCAACAACGAGTCGACTGTATCCTGCCTATCACCAACGAGCCGACAGTAGCCAGCCGACATCAGCTAGCCGAGTATCTACGAGCCGACTGTATCCTGCCGATCACCAAAGAGCCGACGGTAGCCAGCCGATCTTCAACGAGCCGACATCAGCTAGCCGAGTACCTTCGAGCCGACTGTAGACAGCCGATTTCCAATGTACCGACATCAGCTAGCCGATCTTTACCGAGCCGACTGTAGCCAGCCGATCTTCAACGAGCCGAATATCTTCGAGCCGGCTGTAGCCAGCTGATCTCCAACTTACCGACCGCAGCTAGCCGAGTATCTTCGAGCCCACTGTAACCAGACGTATACTTTCGAGCCGACCACAACCAACCCGAATACCAACCAGCCGATTTGTTACGAGCCGACATCACTTAACCATCCCCGAGCCAACTGAAACCAGCTGGCTACTCACGATCCGACCTCCATACATAGCTTATCTCACATCCAAACTTTTATTCATATGGTAAACACCAGAGTATTATAATAACGATTGAAATTGTAATAACTCGTGTTTTTACTTAAGGTTTGTGGGTCCTTAAGTTGACCCTGGCAGCGACTGAGCTTAATTCAGCCTTAGTTAAAACCACTCGTTATAAAGTTTAGATTTGTTCGAATTGGAACCGTCACACACTGCCCGAATATTGCTCTTGCTTGAGATATTCGACACTTTGGTATTTTTTGCTTGCTTTCCAAAATACCCCAGACACAATGGTTCAACGGATTGGTATCCGGAGATTTTGGTGGGCATTGTGCGCTGGAAATGAAGCGAGGAACCTCATTTTGTAAACATTCTTGGGTGGAGCGTGCTGAGTGCGATGGTGCTGAGTCCTGTTGGAATGTCCAAGGCCTGCGGCCAAATGTTTGCGTGCGCAAGACTTTAATACATCCTCCTGAATATTTTCGCATCACAATAATATTCGGCAGTTATTCTGATGCCACGATCGATTAATACGAGCGGAGAACGATCATCGGCTGTTATGGAGGCCCACACCATTACCATGGCCGGCGCTTGAGTTCTGGTGGCCAACTGAAGTTGCACAATTTCAACTGATCTCTTTGGCAAGTAAACACAATCATTTTGTTTGTTTACAAACTGCTGGACCACGAATGTTTTCTTATCGGAGTAACACAAATTCGGCAGTGCATCACTTTCGGCCAAGCGAAGCAACTCTTTAGCTCTTTTGAGACTATTTTCTTTCTTTTGCGCTGTAAATTCTTGCACTTTTTGGAATTTCAATGGAATATTGCGAGCCATTTTTTCGGCCACTACGACTCGGGTTTCGATCAAGTCGTTTCATTACTTATCGGACCATTTCTGCGTATGTTGTTGTTTTCTTCCGTCCACTTCCTTGACGTCGGGCCACCAGTATCACGATAACGGTACGAGACACAAACGATTTATTCACATTTAAATGCTGGAGTGCATGAATTCGACCTCCAAATTCCCTCCAGTAGATGATTGAATGGCTATAAACCTTATAAAAGCGAAGTTATTCTGCGTCAATGCTGCCAACCATTTCAAATAATATAAGGAAAAATTTTACAGCTGGTCGAGACAAAAACAAAGCCATATTTTACGAGCGCCTACAAACAGCATATAATCGCTGCCCTGGCCATGAAATTAAATGCAAAAAATCGGAGGGGAAAATATTTTTGGGCCCACCGTCAGAAAATTCAGACTGCATAAAGAAACATCCGGCGCCAGATTCAAGCATCTTGATATGCTCAAGACCACCTAGATTTCTCCTGATCAAGCAACGAGAAATCAAATTGATCATGTTATGATAGACGGAAGGCATT